TCTCTATGGCTTACTTTGAAACATCCGTTTACGGGTTTAAGCTGCAGCGATTAATTGAATTAATTTAGATAGTGGAATTGATATTTTTTTGCTCAGAAGGTTTATTAACATGAGTAATGTTGTGTGTGGTCATACTTCGCCAATTCACCTGGGCCATTATGGCCCACTCAGAGCGAACCACGTGGCATTCCAACGGAGGTGGCATAGATTGCCGAGGTGGACAATGCCGAAGCCCTTCAAGCCGAGGCTGCTTTTTTACCGAGGCCTGTAAACGTACCTAAGGTCTACATGCCGAAACCCATGAACCGAAGCCATGATGCTGAAACTAGTTGAAACCCTCAAGCGGAAGTATCGTGTGAAATGGTGGAAGCCCCGAAGCAGACGCAGGAGCCTCCGAACCACAAAGGAGTGTCCTCCATGTTCACTTCTCCCAAGAGATCGTCTGCATAAAGATCTTATTCGAATGATTGATGGAACGTTTGTCGTAAATATAAAGGTCAAGTCTTGTCACTAGTATGGAGGCCCTGCACAAAGCAATAAATGCCCAGTAAGCTAGCAAGTCAAGCCCCATGCCTAGGATGGGATGTTTGAATTAAAGAGATGAGGCCACGTGCCACCTCATCCAAGGGCTCCCATTTCACATATATCACTATAAATACTTTCCTTGTGTAATATCAAAATGTTAATGCAAGAATCAATACAAAGAACTATACTTTACTCAACTCTCTCTCTCACTTACTTGCAATACACAAATCGAGTTTATACACATTTACATGCACATTTATGAACACCGGTTGGTAATTATTGTACAATCGGATCACGAACAACCCGTCGGATTCCGAACGTCACCGTCCCGTGTTGTTGGGCTACTCCCACGCCCTTTGAACCGCTTGTTTTAGACCGTCTACATGTTTTAGCGTGTTGGACATTCGCCCACGTCTGCACGGTGGGACCGGCATCTGTTGACAATACTTTTTGGGGTCAACAGATTGACGTCGTCTGTGGGAAACCATACCATAACCACGAGTAACCCTGTGGTAAAAGTTTACTGAAAGGACATTTGGGCAACCCCCCTTGAAAAAGGATTTGTTCTCGGAAGAGAACAGGAGGAAGCCCCGTTACTTGGAGAAATCTGAAATCGAACAAAGGAAAATGAGCTACAATGAAGATACTCCCCCCAAGAGAGTAAGAAAAAACACGAATGTGCATCCCCAGCCTGCTGCTCCAGCAGCTCGGCAGAGACTCCACCACCACCAAAGAAGAGGTGGGATGCGTGCGACGACACGATTATCGAGAGAAATGGCCGCCATGGCGGCTAACATGAGGGATATCGCCAGCCAAAATTTGGCTATAAGGGAGCTTATGGCCCAAATGCAGGGCCAGGGAGGCTTCCCCATTCCTCCATATACCCCCCAAGGGCACTACCAGCAAAAGGATGAAGTCCAAAGTCATAGAACTGCTACACCAGACTATGGGCGAGGTGAAAGCCCCTTTGAAAAGGAAGTGGAAGTTGATGTTTCCTCCAACTACGCTTCTAGCCGACCCTCCGAGGTCCAAATGAGCCATGATAATTTCCCACCTCCGTATGAGCAAGACCCAAGACATAGGAGGGCAGGAAGTGTTTTCGACAGAATCAGCCCCGCCGAACCGAGACAAAGGCAACAGCAGGCTCAGCAACCTTGGACAAGGCCGCCTCCTCCACTTACATTGCCCCAGCAGGCGGAAAGAAGGCAAGAAAATGCCCCCCTAGTTGCTCCGCCTAGAAATAGGCGGCAGAGGAGAGACGAAGAGGCTAGGGATCTCCCCGGGACCTCTCACCAACAACCGGGGCACGAGACTGATGAGTACGACTCTGACGAACAGCAGAGGTCCTGCGACTTGAATGACGACAATGAGAACCTACCATTCTCAAGGGAACTAAGGAATGCCCGGGTCCCGAGCCACTGTGCTATGCCAAAAATACCAAAGTATAACGGAAGAGGCGACTCGAAAAAGCATCTGAATGCTTATAAAATCCACATGAGCCTAAAGGGCGCGACCCCAGTCGTGAAGTGCAGAGCCTTCCATTTAACACTTAGTGGAGCGGCTGAAATTTGGTACAGCAGATTGCCACCTGGGAGCATTAGAAGCTGGCCCGAGTTCAAGACAACGTTCTTGAAGAGGTTCGCAGTAAGCAAAGAAGGAGAAGCCCCCATCCAACGTCTCCAGGACATGAGGCAAGCACATGGGGAGTCCCTAAAGAGCTTCTTATCACGCTTCACCGACGAGATGACATACTGCGTACAAGTCAGCGACCGAGAGGCACTATCCGCGCTAAGGGGAGGTCTGAACATGAATACCTTATTCTGGAGAGATGTGCAGAATCAAGACCCCACCACCTATGACGCCCTACTCGAAATGATGAGAAGGGAGATCATCAATGAAGAATTGATTGAGTATAGGAACAGGGCAAATAGAGGTCTCCCGCCTCCTCAAAGACAGTACGGTAGAGGCCCAACCTCCCACCTGATGGGCTACCAGATGAACCAGGCTGGAAATGAGAACTCTGGTCAAGCACTTGCCACCACCACTTTGAATGCGGTTCCCACCTTGACATATGAAGATGTCAATCCAATAACTGACCCCCATCAAATGGGAGGTCAGGAGATGCCCCGTCGGGGGAGAGGCCGAGGTCGAGGCTCTGGACCTAGAAATAGGTCAAACCCGAACCCCCAGGATACTGTGTACACCACAGGTCCTACGGACATAACACAGCGGATTGTAGAGACTATGCACAACGTTCCCGGCAGGAACCTATTAGAGACAGACATGATTCGCCCCAAGTGAACAGGCCCCCGCCCAGGCACGACAACCAGCGTGGACGTGAGGAGGCCGCTCCCCGTCAAAGGGATGTATCCCCACGGCGAAGGGAGCATGATGCAGAGAGGCCCAGGGAAGGGCGTAGACACCAAAGAAACCGGCAAGCTAGAGATGAAGCCCCTATCCACGAGGTGGACACCATATTTGGAGGCCCGTATGTTGGCGGCGAAACACGAAACGCCAAAAAGAACTACGTCCGGGAGGCTAAACGCCCCCCTTTGACAAGCTACATCGTGGGTAGCAGCTTCCGAAGAAACCACGTCCCACCCATTGTATTTTCCCAGGAAGACGAAGAGGGAGTTCATTACCCCCACTGCGATGCACTTGTGGTGAGGGCTGTCATAGCCAGGAATGGGCTCAAACGAATGTTGGTTGACAACGACAGCTCCGTCAACATTCTATTCGGATCCGCCTTTGATAAAATGATATTGGATCATCAGCTGACACCCATCACCACTCCATTGTATGGATTTACCGGAGATAGCATCACTCCGAGAGGAAAGATAACACTAGAAGTAGAGATGGGGGAATCCCCACGAACAACGACGAACTTCATGGAGTTCCTCATTGTTGACAGTAGGTCGGCCTACCATGGGGTGTTGGCAGATCAGCCCTGAAGGAACTGGGAGCAGTCACCTCCATCCACCACCTGTGCATGAAATTTCCAACTGAAAATGGGGTGGCAATGGTGAGAGGCGACCAAAGAGGCTAGAGAGAATGCTATCTAAGCTCCATCAAGAAGGCAGAGCCCGGGGACATCCATGTAGTCATAGCTGACGTGGTGATGGCTAACGTCCTAGGTGATGCTCCCACCGAACAAGAAGATGTTGATATGATCGATGCACCACCTAATGCAGAGCGCAGGTCATCGATGAAATTGACCCCCGCATCATCGAACATGAGCCTCAGGCAACTCCAGTAGAGGAACTTGACAGCTTCTCAGTAGACCCCCGAGACCCATTAAAGGTACTGAAGGTAGGCAAATGCCTAGCCAACATTCTAAAGGAAAAGATTAAGGATTTCCTGAGCAAGAATCTTGATGTTTTTGCCTGAAAGCATGAGGACATGGTAGGCATAGACCCCAAGGTCAGCTGCCACCACCTAAAAATTGATCCCAATGTTGCCCCGCATAGACAAAAAAGGAGAGCCCTCAACCCTGAAAGGTATGAGGCCCTAAAGGAAGAAGTTCAGAAGCTCATCCAAAATGGCTTCATCCGAGAGGCAACCTACCCTAGATGGGTCTCCAACCCGATTTTGGTAAGGAAAAACAACGGCAAGTGGAGGGTGTGCATTGACTTCACCAACCTCAATAGAGCTTGTCCGAAAGATAGTTTTCCACTCCCAAGGATTGACCAACTAGTGGATTCCACTGCTGGGCACGAGTTGTTGAGCTTCATGGACGCGTACTCCGGCTACAACCAAATCCCCATGCACCCGACCGATGAAGAGCACACCTCTTTCATTACCGACCGAGGCCTCTATTGTTATAGAATGATGCCCTTCGAGTTGAAAAACGCAGGAGCAACCTACTAAAGACTCGTAAACAAAATGTTTGTGGACCTCATTGGCAAAACAATGGAGGCCTACGTGGACGACATGCTAGTAAAAAGTTTGGAGGCCGAAGACCACATAAAGCACCTCAACAGCACTTTCCAGATCCTAAGAAGATATAGGATGAGGCTCAACCCCCACAAGTGCGCCTTCGGGGTAGCCTACGGCAAGTTCTTGGGGTACATGGTCAACCAACAGGGAATTGAGGCCAGTCCCGAGAAGATTGAAGTTTTGTGCAAGATGAGGTCCCCCCAAAAATCGAAGGAGGTGCAAAGTCTTACCGGACGAGTAGCGGCACTTAGCCTCTTTGTGTCCAAAGCTACGGACAAATGCCTTCCCTTTTTCAAAGTACTGAAGGCTGGGAAGAAATTCCAGTGGACTGAGGAATGTGAAGAGGCTTTCCAATGCTTGAAAAGGCACTTGGGGCAAGCCCCCCTCCTTTCCAAACCTAAGCCCCGTGATATCCTACAACTATATTTGGCCGTCTCCAATGAGGCCATCAGCTCGGTTCTAATACGGTAAAAACTACCCAACTCCCCGTGTACTACACAAGTAAAGCGCTCCTATCGTCGAAAACCCGTTACCCCGATATGGAGAAACTCGCTTTGGCTTTGATCACGGCCTCTAGGAAATTGAGACCCGACTTCCAAGCTCACACCGTTCATGTACTGACAAATTTTCCCCTGAGGCAGGTACTCCAAAAGCCTGACACCTCAGGAAGGTTATTGAAATGGGCGGTAGAACTCAGTGAATTTGACCTTGTATTCAAGACTAGGGCAGCCATAAAAGGGCAAGCCTTAGCTAACTTTGTGGCTGAATTCGCCAACCTACCCGAGGTGGACGAAATCATGGAACCTATCGAACCCCCCACGTGGAATCTTTTCATTGATGGGTCAGCTGGGGATGTTGGCTCCGGTGCTGGGGTTGTTCTCATTAGCCCTGAAGGTCACAAGCTCACCTCGGTGGTGAGGTTCAGATTCAAAGCTACCAATAACGCAGCAGAGTATGAGGCACTTCTTGCAGGCCTCAGACTGGCCATCGAAATGCAAGTAAAGAGGCTGCTCATCAGTAGTAACTCCCAACTGGTTGTTAGCTAAGTCAATGGTAACTTCTCAGTCAAAGATAAAACGATGGCCTCCTACCTAAAAATGGTGATGAATCTCATCCCATCCTTCGAAAAGTTTGAGTTGATCCAGATCCCTCACATCGAAAATGCACATGTTGATGCACTATCAAAGCTAGCTAGCAGCAAGGACTCAGAGCTACTCACAGTAGTACCTATTGAGCATCTCCTCCTACTTTCAATCGAGGCCCCAACAGTAACGTGGGTCGCTGGGACTCCCGCTTGGATGCAACCAATCGTAGCATACCTCAAAGACCAGGCACTGCCAACTGACAAGAATGAGGCTTACAAGCTAAGAAGGAGGTCAGCCCACTTCCTTTTCATTGATGACATTCTCTACAAGAGAAGCTTCTCCTCCCCACTCCTACAGTACGTCGGAGGAGAAGAGGCTACCTACATATTGAGGGAAGTCCACGAGGGCGTATGCGGTAACCACTCCGGAGGGCTATCTCTGGCACAGAAAATATTGAGGCAGGGGTACTACTAGCCCACACTAAAGCGGGACGCCCTCGAGTTTGTACGAAAATGCGATAAATGCCAGCGCTTCTCTCCGGTGCAGCGACAACCATCGCAGGAGCTGACCACCGTCTCTAGCCCTTGGCCTTTCTCAAAATGGGGTATGGACCTCATAAGTCCCCTACCTAAGGGTAGAGGAGGGGCAAGTTTTGCAATTGTGGCTATTGATTACTTTACGAAGTGGGTCGAAGCCAAACCACTGGCAAAAATCACTGAAGCCAACACCTCCAAGTTCTTATGGAAAAATATTATTTGCCGGTTCGGGATTCCCCACTCAATCATCTCAGACAATGACAGACAGTTTGACAACAAGAAGGTTAAAGAATTATGTGAAGAGCTCGGCATAAAGAAACACTTCTCCACACCTCACCACCCACAAGCAAACGGCCAAGTCGAGGCCGTGAACAAGACGATTAAGCACGTCTTGAAAAGGAACCTGGATGTATCAAAAGGGGCCTGGGTTGATGAGCTGCCCCAAGTCCTTTGCGTGATCCAAACCACCACAAGGACCCCAACAGGAGAAACACCCTTCCTCATGGCATTCGTAACTGAGGCTATGAGCCCCGTGGAAGTCGGACTTCCATCCCCAAGACGTCTACACTTCAGTGAGATAACTAACGACGAGCTCCGGGGGCTCGACCTCGACTACATTGAAGAAAGAAAAGATGACTCCCAAGTGAAGCTCGGCACATATCAGAGAAAGATGACAAGGTATTTCAACTCGAAAGTCAAGAAGAGGTTATTCCGAATCAACGACATTGTACTTAGGAGGGTCTTCGTTTCCTCAAAATAACCTGGTTCCGGTTCCCTTGGCCCAAACTGGGAAGGTCCATACAAAATCAGAGAAGAAGTCCAACCTGGGACTTACTGGATTGAAGACATGAACGGCAAGGCACAACCCCGACCATGGAACATTGAACACCTCAGAATCTACTACCAATAAATGTACTATCTTGCTGGACGACCTTTCCCAGCCCTTGTAACATTTCTACGGTTCAATAAAATTTAGTGATTAAATTAACGTGTTGAACTACCTCGTCACCTCGGAGGAGAGGCTCGCGTCCCACCTCTGGGCCACCTCGCTGGAACTCCGGGGCTCTAGCACATACCTCCCTTTGGCCAAAATAAACAAAACGCCAAGGGGAGAAGCCTCAACATGGCTGCACCACCCACCGTGGCTGGGATGCGTTGTCACCCCGGAGGAGAGGCTCGTGCCCTACCTCTGGGCCACCTCGCTGGAACTCCGAGACTCTAGCACATGCCTCCCTTTGGCCAAAATAAACAAAACGCCAAGGCGAGAAGTCTCAACATGGTTGCACCACCCACCGTAGCTGGGATGCGTCGTCACCTCGGATGAGAGGCTCGCGCCCACCTCTGGACCACCTTGATTGAACTCCGAGGCTATAGCACGTGCCTTCCTTTGGCTGGACTAAATGCCAAGGGAAGAAGCCACCTCACGTGTAATAAGTCCGAGGCTCAAAAAGTTATTTTGCTTATGTCCGAGGTTCATTTACTTAAGTCCGAGGCTCAAACAGTTGTTTAAAGTTCATTTGCTTAAGTAAAGTTCATTCGCTTATGTCCGAGGTTCATTTGCTTAAGTCCGAGGCTCAAACAGTTCATTTGCTTAAGTAAAGTTCATTCGCTTATGTCCGAGGTTCATTTGCTTAAGTCCGAGGCTCAAACAGTTTGTGTTTGCTTAAGTAAAGTTATTTTGCTTAAGTCCGAGATTCAAACAGTTGTTTAAAGTTCATTTGCTTAAACGAGGCGCGTACACTTGATAAAGAAACAACAATGAATGAAACAGGCATTTTATTGATCTTCAATAAGGATTACATAAGTGGGCCTCAGGCCATTACATTCAAAAAAAAACTAAAAAGAAAACTAATCTAAGCTTGGGTAGATGGGGGAGGTGCTTCAGTACTTGGGGCTTCGGCAGCTTGAGCATCGGCATTTGTCTCCCCTACCTCAGCTGCTTCATTACCCTGCACCTCCTCAGCAGGGGTCTGATGTACCTCATCCACGAATTCAAACCTGAGTTGAATCAGATCCAAATTGGGATACATTTCCTCTGCCTGCTCCATCACCTCAACATAGGCAAAGTTTCTCCAGTAAGCACTGAAGCTTTTATACTCCTCTGTGTTATGGAAGTTGGCAACGTACTCCTGCACCGCCTCTTTCCTCGCCTGTTAAGCCTCCTCTCTGGCGTGGGATGCATCATCCACATACCACTTGATTTGGGTTTCCAAGAAATGATAAGCTTCCTGGGCACCCACCAAAGAGAGATTAGCCTTCTCCAGGGCCTCAGCAGTCACTTTCTGGTGCCCATTGGAGACCTCCACCTTCTTTGTTAGGGAGGCCACCTCACACTGTGACTCATGAACTTCCTTCTTCAAAGCCTCAATCTGGGCCAAGGCAAACTCAAGCTTGGCCATTTCTTCAAGTTTTTGGGCCCTGGCTTCCTCCGCCTCGGCCCTAGCCGCCTTAACCTCCTCTACAAGGGAGGCCGTCTTCTCCTCTGAAGATCTGGTCCTTAATTGAAAATCACTTAGGGCCTTCCGGCATTCAAGAGCGAGGCCAAAAGTTCTGATGCTTTGGCTCACCAACGCTCTCGTCAGGTCGGTTGCATCGCAGGAGGAGCCATGCAGCTACCACCTGTCAGTCCAGAACCGGTAAAAGTTCTCAGTGGCGCTTCGAATCTCCTTTGAAAGAGCTTCCACCAAGGCTGGGGCCAAGGTCTCCTCCCTTCCAGTTAGAAGCTTGGAGACTTCCCCTTTTCCCGAGCAGGCTTTTGTTTAGCTGCCTCCTCCTTGGCAGCCTCAGCAGCTCTCCTCGCTGCCTCCTCCCTAGCCTCCTCAGCTTCAGCCTCCCTGACCATTTCTATCTTGATGGCTTTGGAGGCAGATGCGAACAGCTTCAGCTCGCCTGTGGATTTGGCCTCATGAGACATTGATGTCCCAAATTTCCCGGACGAGCTGGTAACGTGCACCAGCTTCCTCCTCTTCACCTCCTCTGGGACCTTCTCTTTGCCCCGAGGCTCTTTTGACCTCTCCTGCCTTTGGGAAGCTCCTTCTTCAGGAGCCTTTGGAGTGCTGTCCTTGGAAAGGCATTCCACCTTGCCTCGGACCTCCTTGGCCCCACTAGACACCGGCTTCAAGGCCCTAGCCTTGGCAGTGGTGGTGGCCTTTAGAATCGTGGCCATATCTGGAGCTGGGTACTCCTTCCTCTTGAATTTATCTGCAAAAGAACGTCAAGTCAGCACATCAGTATCTAATCAAAAGGACAAGGAAATTTACAACTGTGGGAGCCTCGTACCTCTGGATGCCATCAATCCAAAATCCAGGAAATAGCGACTCCTGTCAATCAGATGGTCAAAATGCCAGAGCTTCAGAGGCCTCTTGTAGATGTCCTCTATCACTTCGAACTCCTCCTTGCTGAGCTTGAACCTCGTACTACAATCTGCAATGGAAGCCCCAACAGTTAGAAATTTTCTAAGTGTTCAATTTAGAAGTACAAGCAGGAGCTGGGAGACTCACGAGCTTCGTAGTACTGGGTCGGCACTGTGCAAGAAAGGGCCTTGTCCCCCTCCACTGCCTGTCATTTTCCCCGCACCCAGAACCAGGACTCCTTCCACCCCTTAATGGAGGAAGGCAGTCCCACCACAAAGGGTGCGTGAGCCCCCTAAGGTGTAATATAATAGCACCCCCTAGACTTCTTCCCTATGATCCGGGGTTGGAAAAGAGTCATGAATACATGGAGAGGCATGTCCTCCCTAAGTGACACCTCCTTCCACAGGAAGTATGAGCCGACCAACTGGCTCCACCCATTTGGCAGAACCTGGGTCTGCGACAACATAAAATTTCTCAGCACCGCCCTAAAGAAAGGGTGCAGAGGAAGACACATACCTGCCTTAAACAGGTATTCACTGACAGCCACGCATCAGGACCTTGGATAACAGGCTCGCTTATTTGGTTCGGGAACTAGCATCTTTATGGAGTGGGGGACACTATATCTCTCCCTGATCTCCCCTAACCTCTTCAACGTCATAATTGAGGGCACCCTAGACGCCCCCACTCCTCAAAATAGTCTATTGGGTCTTTGGTCATGGCATAACTATCAGCCTCGGCATCCTCCCTCTGACTGACCCCATAATCTAATGACGCCACCGTCGCCAACTCCCTACCCGAGGTGGACTCCATCTCACAGAATTAACAACAAAAATAAGGTTTTCCTGCGAATGATACCTAAGGGAAGAACACTACGAACGGAGATAGGCCAGAAAATCAAAAAACGAGCTGCCTTGACGCCGAAAAGTTCAGAAATTTGAGAGAGAATCTAATTGCAAAGTTTCAAAAGTCCTAAAAAATGGAATTTTCTCACCTTTTATAGAGGTCCAGGACAAACCCTGGCCGTCAGATTGAACCTCAGTCAATCTGAGCCCTTCGTTGTAGATCAAATTCGAGGCGTTAAATTCAAACGATTTTTCAAACCTACGCCTCAGATTCAAGCGTGCCTCCCACGCGCCCCATCCAACGCGTCTGCTTCTAGAAGCTCCAGTTGCCATCATAATTGTATTTTTAATTTGACGACAGCAGGCGCCTTGGAAGTCTTAACGGTTCAGCCACTTTTCCTCGAAAATAAGCACAAAACATCAAATCATTGGCACAACTATCAAGGCACAATCATTACCATTGAACCTCGACTTCGTCTTCAACATTCAGCCATCAAGCTTCACAGGTTTGATTTCCAACCACCTCGGCTTCGTCTTCAACATTCAGCCATCAAGCTTCGCAGGTTCGGTCTCCAACCACCTCGGCTTCTTCTTCAACATTCATCCATCAAGCCTCGCAGGTTCGGTTTTCCAACCACGGCAACACATTTCTAATTTCAACTCTGATATAAATATCTACACTTGGACTTCAAGGACCATTATTTGGGGTTCAAAAATTCTTTCAATTTTTACTTCATTAAAGTCCACGCATTACATGAATGACCATACTTGGACTTGGGGGCCTATTGTTGTGAGTGGTCATACTTGGCCAATTCACCTGTGCCATTATGGCCCACTCAGGGCGAACCACGTGGCATTCCAGCCGAGGTGGCATAGATTGCCGAGGTGGGCAATTCCGAAGCCCTTCAAGCCGAAGTCCACTAGCCGAGGCTGCTTTTTTACCGAGGCTTATAAACGTACCTGAGGTCCACATGCCGAAGCCCATGAATCGAAGCCATGATGCTGAAGCTAGTTGAAGATAGCTAAAGCTCTCAAGTGAAAGTATCGTGTGAAATGGCCGAAGCCCCGAAGTAGACGCAGGAGCCTCCGAACCACAAAGGAGTGTCCTTCATGTTCACTTCTCCCAAGAGATCGTCTGCATAAAAATCTTATTCGAATGATTGATGGAACATTTGTCGTAAGCACAAATGTCAAGTCTTGTCACTAGTATGGAAACCCTGCACAAAGCAATAAATGCGTAGCAAGCTAGCAAGTCAAGCCCCATGCCTAGGATGGGATGTTTGAATTAAAGAGATGATGCCATGTGCCACCTCATCCAAGGGCTCCCATTTCACATATATCACTATAAATACTTCCCTTGTGTAACATCAAAAAGCTAATGCAAGAATCAATACAAAGAACTATACTTTACTCAACTCTCTTTCTTACTTACTTGCAATACACAAGTCGAGTTTATACAAATTTACATACACATTTATGAACACCGGTTGGTAATTATTGTACAAACGAATCACGAACAACCCACCGGATTCCGAACGTCACCGTCCCGCGTTGTTGGGTTACTC